CTTACCTTTCACTCAGTTCACTTTACAAAAAACCCCTTCTCCCTCCCCCAATTCACTTTCTTTTTTTTTTCTAAATAAAACTATTCATTCACTGTCGCACAATTTCCTCCCTGTCCCAGTTCTTTTTGCAATCTCCCTCTTATTCTGGACCGTTGTTATACATATAATGCCTAATCATATATTCCTTTAAAACAGTTCTCTCACTCATCTGTTCCAATACAGTGTTCATTATCTATCCACTTTTTTCCTACTCTCCTCCCAACCCCCTGTATCAGTCCTGCTTCAGGACAGTGGGGATATGCAGAATTTAGCTTTTTTTTTTTTTTTTTTAAATTTGTCCTTTTGAGATTGAGACATTTCACTCAGCATACTGTCCTCCAGGGTCACCCAGGTTGTGTTATGTTTGATAAGACCCCTATTTTTCAGTGCTGCATAGTATTTTGTTGTGTGAATATACCATCGTTTTTCTATCCAATCGTTTGTTGATGGGCATTTGGGTGGCTTCTGTCTCTTTGCTATTATGAATAATGCAGCAATGGGTGTGCATACATCTGTGTGGATGGCGGTTCTGGTCTCGCCAGGACTTTTCAGAAGTACACTGCCACATCTCTCTCTCTTTCTTGGAGCAACTGGTGGGTTCCAATCTTGATCTTTAGGTTAGCAAGACAGTGCTTAGCCACTGTGTTACCAGGGCTCCTAAAAACTACTAGAATTTTCTTACTGCAAAAAAAGCATCTTCAAAAAAAGAAAAGCACATTCACCTCTAGCCACATCATCCTGCGTACAGTTTCAGAATGAGGACGAGCTACCTTGCTGCTGTTGTTACATGTGGTAGAGCTGGTTCTGAGTCAGGGGGACCCTTCATATGACCGAATGAAACCCCACCCTCCAGGCCACTGCTCTGAGCGAGCTCACCGTTGCAGCCGCTTGTGGAGATTCTGATATAAAAGGCTCCAGGTGGCTACCACCTGGGACCCTCCCCATCCATCCCAGGCCCACCGCTCCTCCTCACAGACCAATGTCACTCAACAAGAGGCCCACTGACCAGGAGTCTGGTGTCCTTGATGACACACAGCTGCTTGGCCCACTGGCCCAGCCACTTCTTACGCCACAGGAAGGCACAGATGCGGGCGTCTCGCATGAGCTCGATGCTGGCCTCGGGCGAGGGCCACTGGTGGGGGGCCGACTTGCCCCTGCTGCTGTCCTCTTCATCGTAGGACTCGTAGGAGCTGCTCACAGCCTCGCCGTCCTCTGTAAGGAAGACCAGCTCAGTCACATCTCTGCGTGGAGGAATAGGTCTCAAAACGCTTTGTCCAAGATGCCACAGATATCAAGAGCTCAGGCCACATCCCTTCCTCGTGTGCCCACCAACCACAGACTCGGCTGGCCTTCTGCCCCAGCACCCTCAGAGAAGCCTGTCAGATGCAGCCTCCGACCACACACACAAATAACTCAAAACCAAGTCTCTTCCCTTTTCCCCTTCTTCATCCTGTCATCGTGGACAATACAGAAACCTCTGACGAGACCTTGCCATCAACAGGGTCTTTGCTCTTGAGAAGGCCAGACCTTCTACTCTGGCCAGAGTATGGCGCAGGCTAGAGAGAGAATCTTCCCAGATTGTTTGGGGAAAGTCTGTCCTTCTGTGAGACCAGAAGGTAGAGAACGCCACCAGAGCCCCGAGCCGCACACATGGCCCTCCTCAACTGCCGCTCAACCGGCAGGGCTTGAGGGGAGTCAGGGCTGTGACCCCGCCGAAATCCGAGGCTAAATAAACTGCAGCAGGAAATAGCTTTCTCAGGAAGGAGGCCACCTTCCAGCCCCTAAATACTCCCTTTATAGCTGGTATCCTTTTTAAAAATTCACTCTTCTATCCTCCCCAGACTCTGGCCCCTCTGCCTTCCTGCTCAACACCTCCCAGGTCCATATATGAAGCCCCACTACCTGTGGCAATAATCCAATCTCATTCTTTTTGGGGGCGGGGAGGTGTTGTGTTTTGGTGTATTTTTTTAAAAAAACAAAAACAGAACTCCAGAACACTGAGCCAAGTGTTACTGCTGCTTATTCCAGGCCAAAGAAATGAAATATCTGAGACAGAAAAAAGATCCACTAACCTTGAAAAGTGGGATCTGAGACCCACCTCCAGACCAGGGAGCCAATCTATAGTAACTCTGATGTTACTTCACTCTCTGCTTGACTGCCCCACAGAGGGGGAGCTCACTACCGCTGACTGCTAAATGCTTCTTTTCATAACCAGGCAATCCTAAGAGAAAATAGGTCCAACAATGTCTGACCCTCTGAGGCCTACATGGGCTCCTTGGTCCTGGAGAGCCATTTTTTCTCTGCACACTAGGCTTCTTCGATATTAAGAACAGACTCACAAATAAAATGGAATATAGGGAAACCGAAGCATTGCTATCTAATCTAGCTGCAATACCAACAAAAATGTGTCTTACTAGTTCTAAAAAGAATACTTTAAATATCGTAACACCAAGTTTCTTTAAAAGCCGGGTGGCATGACTTTCATTCATAGCTTAATGAAAATGCTGCCATTTCCAATTTTGCGCCTATGCACCGAGCAACCCATGTATACACTGCCCAGTGGGGGCGTGGGCGCTCCCACTTCTGGTGGCAACACCAATTAACACAAGCCTCTCCCAGGGCAGCCTGGTGGCCTGTTGTTTCAAGAGCCATAAAAACACCAATGCCCTTTGGCCCAGTAATCCCAGTGCTGGGAGTTTATCCCAGGGAACTAGTTTTCACAGAAAGCAGGGGCCCGGAAGGTTACATGCATTAAGATAGTTGAGTTTACTTAACACTCCGCAGAAAGGAAGGAAAGTAAGGAAAGGAAGCTTTTGTTCAGCTAGAAGCATTCCACGCAACTGCAGTGAACCGAAACTGAGCATGTGCTTGCAACTCCTCAAACTCCAGCCCAGAGAACAGGTCCTGACCACAGAATAGCAGGGAAAAGCACAATTAAAACTGTATCTGAGATTTTGATTGGGTATTACTGTTATGACAGCAGTCCAGAACGAAGGCTGCACAGTGGACTTGGGGGGGGGGGAGGGACTGCATAACAATGAAAGAGTTTTTCTTTTATTTTTTAAGGAGAAGAGTGAATTGGGGTGGGAGCAGGGTGAAAATGCAACAATGAATGACTGGAAACCTTAAGTCTCTGTAAACTTTCATTAAAATTAATAAAAACAAAACAAAACAAAACAAAACGGTATCTGCTGATAAACTTCCTCTATAAGGCAGTAAGGAGAAGTCAAAATGATTGATGCTTGTGGGGAAGGATCAAGGCGATTTGTTTACAATGTTCCCACTGTCAGTTTTCTATTATCTATATAATAAACAGGGAGTGCTGGTAGTTTAGTGGTAAGGAGTTGCACTGCCACCCCAAAGGCAGGTGGTTTGAATCCACCATCTGCTCTGCGTGAGAAAGATGGGAAGTTTCCGATGTGTGATTTACTGTCTCTGAAAATCATCATCAGGTTTTTCTTCTGCGTCACTTCTGGTGCAGAAATTTAAACCCCCAACCTTGTGTTAACAGCCAATCACTTAACCATTTGTACCACCCACAGACTCCTTGCATCTAATTTAAAATAATGAGTAAGTTTCCTGGGTCACAGGCAACAGGAGCAGAGGGCGTGGGGGTCTCATTGTACACCTCTGCTGTCTCCTGACTCCACCATGTCTCAAGGAAATCCTTGGGAACAGAGGCCACAGTAGCTCTGCAGCATTCCGTCTTGGAGCTGGGCGTTGGGATGCTGTGGGCAGGAGGTCTGTGTAGATGGGCACTGAGTCACTCCTTCTAGAAGGAGGGTGCGCAGGCAGAACATGCAGGGCCCACACGCGAGGAAGGGAGCCGCGGTCACCCCGGACCATGCACCCCACCAGGCAGCAGGCAAGGAGACAACACGTTTGTTCGGCTGCATGCACAAGCAGTAGGTACCCAGGGTGATGGTGGCGTAAATGACTCCTTCCGGCACCTGCACCCATCTGGGGATGCCAGCAGGGGGCGTTCTGCCAGAATGACCTGTATGACACCAAGAGCACAGAGACAGAGAAATAGGATGAAGAGATGGAGGAGAGAAAAGAGAGAGGAGAAAGAGAGACAGAGGAGAGAGGAGAAAGACACAGAGGAGAGACAGGGGAGAGACAGACAGACAGAGACAGAGGAGAGACGGGAGGAGAGAGAGAGGAGAAAGACAGGAGAGAGAGACAGAGGGGAGAGAGACAGAGGAGACCGAGAGAGACAGAGAGAGGAGAGACAGAGCGAGACAGGAGAGAGAGACACAGAGAGAGGGGAGAGACAGAGGAGAGAGAGACACACACACACAGAGGAGAGGGAGAGACAGACAGAGAGGAGAGAGAAACAGGGAGAGAGACACACAGAGAGAGGAGAGAGACACACAGAGAGAGGAGAGAGAGACACACACACAGAGGAGAGGGAGAGACAGAGGAGACAGAGAGAGACAGAGAGGAGAGAGAAACAGAGAGAGAGAGACAGTGGAGAGAGACACACAGAGAGAGGAGACAGAGGAGAAACACACACACAGAGGAGAGGGAGAGACAGAGAGAGACAGAGGAGACAGAGAAGAGAGAGAGACAGCAGAGAGACACACACAGAGAGAGGAGAGAGGAGACAGAGGAGAGACAGAGGAGGGGGAGAGAGAGAGGAGAGGCAGAGAGAGACAGGAGAGAGAGAGGAGGGGAGAGAGAGGAGAAAGAGGAGAGAGGAGAGAGAGAAGGGGGAGAGAGAGAGGAGAGAGGAGGAAGAGAGAGGGAGAGAGAGAGAGGGGTATGGATGAAGAAACAGAGAGGGACAGACAGAGGCAGCCCTGGCAGGCTGTCCGCCAGGAATGAATGTTTTCCCACGGGAGCTCGGGTGTGTCAGGAGAGGCCACAACCCTGCCCAGCCCCTCAATTCCCTGCCCCCATCGTAATGTCAGAGGACCATGTGACCGAGTGTCATCACCTGTGGAACGCAGGCAGAAGTGATGTGTGCCTGGAGTTTTTAAGAAATGGAGAGAGGTTCTCTGCTTTCTCCTTGCAATGACCTTGTAGCCCTACAGCCTGGAAGTTCACCTGAAGCTCCTTTAGTATAAAAAAACCCCAACAACATTGCTGTCAATGTTCCGGTTCATAACAACCCCTGTAAGATAGAGCTACCCATAGGGAACTCTGGGCGCCTGTGGTATGAAGCTGCACTGCAATTCCAAAGGCACAGGGTTCGAGTCTACCAGCTGCTCTGCTAGAGAAGGATGGGTATCCTCCTTCCATGTGATTAAAATGCCTCAGAAAACCAGCCAGAGGGTCAGCTATGGGTCAGTTCCAACTCGACAGCACACAACAACAATGACCACAAAACCACCCCTAGGGTTCTTTTGGCTGGGATCTTTACAGAAGTAGACGGTTACATCTTTCTTCCATAGAGTCGTTGGTGGATTCATGTTGCCAACTTTATAGTTGGCAACCAAGCACTTTAACCACTGAGCAACCAGAACATTCCAGTGTCCTTCATGTCACCAAGGACAGACGGTGGCAGTACAGAGGTTCTGCTGGCTGGAAACGAAGCCTGGGTATCCTGTATGAGAAGAAAGAATTGTACCACTGACCCATCCACGCCTGCTGTCCTAAACTACCGTCCCGGCCAATTATACCCACATGAGGTCATTATGTGGATAAGAAACAGATTTCTATTGTGTGACTATGAACTACAGTTGGGGGGGGGTGGTATTTATTACAGCAGCTGGTATGACCCCACATATGAAGTCCCTGTGCCTCAGGCCAGCAGAATAGACCCTCCTCCTGTGTCCAGCACAGGCCATCAGTGCACTTACTAGCGTTTTCTTCAGAGAGAACATGGCTGAGTGAGCAGTGTGGGATCAGTGCTGACAGAGGCAGGCATTCAGGCAACTGATCTTATATAGGAGGCCAATGACTTGCTGTTGGCTCACCGACTAGCACACGGGGTTAGGGGTCAGTGTGGTTCCTGGTGTTGCCACTTGCACGTCACGTGGCTCCATTAACGGTGGGGACAGCCATTAGGAACCCGAGAGCAGGCCAACTTCCAGCCCAGGGGAAGAATTCCTTTTCTACCCTGTCTCTCCATCTTCCTGCGTCTCATCTTTCACGGGAGGCAAGGTGCCCGGCCTTCCTCTCCCACCTGGCTGTTCAGTCCACGGCAGGCCGTCTGTCATCTCTGGATGGTGCTCTCCTCGCCCGGGGCCCGTGAGGAGCCCACCTGTCCCGACATGCCCAGTCCTGACCGTCAAAACCAAACCGGCCCAGTTGTGGTCGAGTCAGCTCCCAGTCAAGGTGACCGTGTGTGTGTGTGTTAGAGGACAGCTGGGCTCCAACGGGTGTCGATGCTGACTTTTCACAAACAGATCGCAAGGCCTTTAATCGAAGACATCCCCGGGTGGACTAAAGCTAAAGTTAGCAGAGAAGCACATTCACCGCACACTCACAGGCTCTGCTGTCGCTTCAATGGACCTGAAATCACAGCTGAGGGACCAGCCCCAAGCAGTCCAGGTCCTTCCAGCGACATGTTTACATCTCTCTCACAGAAAGCCCCGGATGAGGTGCCTGCCTCATGCAGGCCCCATGGAATGTCTGGGAGGCAGGTCTCAGCTGGCCCAGCCCACACCTGCAGTGAGGCGACTCAAGGGGCAGGGGTGCTCATTGTGGGGTGACTCACTCCCTCACCGCCTCCACCTTCAGGATGCGCCCCAGCATCAGCACCACACCCATGACGCGGGTCTGAAATCACAGCCCAGGCAGGTGACTTGAGGAGCCTCACACAGTGAGATCAAACCAAGTGGCGTCTGCCCGCACAGTCAGCCTCTTTACCAGGACCTCGGTCCAAACAGGCCCATCGTTCCTGAGACCGGGGATGGGGAGGGGGGTGATTTGTGAAAGAAAGAGAATCCGGTGTATCCTCAAAGCCACCGCTCTGTCCTTTTTTAGCAACCAGCTCCCTCAGCTAAAGGTGCCCTCCACCTAAGTCCCTTCCCAGCTCCAAAGGTCCTCATCTCCAACACCTGCAAGTTGCTCTATGTTTGCAAAGCCCTTTTCATTTACAAAGGATGGAAGGAGGAGGATCGAAGAAGGAGAAGATGAGGGTACAGAATCCATCACCCTGGAGATGAATATGCCACCATTTCTTCTAGAACTTTCTAGGACTTTTCTATGAAAAGAAAATCTCTGCACCAAGAACACTTGTGACAGGAGTTTCTTATCGTTTGGAAAGGGCCCTTGCTTGAGTCCTGCTCTCAGTCTCATCTACCTGATGTCCAGGGCCACCTCCGGAACACCTGTGTAAGATGGATCTGAGTCTCAGGGTTAGAGCCTCACCCAGACCCTCCCCATGGTTTCTCCAGCTCCACTGCCTGGCAGGCCCCTGGCTCCTGTGACAGCCCCTTCCCTCTCCCTGGTATTCTTCACACTCACAAATACACACACATGTGCACGCACACACACTCACACGCACATGGGGCTCAGAGCTGGGCTGCCTCACATTCTGGAAAGTTCTTCCCACCATGATGTTCACGCCCCACTCCACTGCACCTAGGACTCTGCTCACAGCCACACTGTCAATAGGACCTTTCCTGCTGCCCAGGCCAGACCCCTCACTCCCAGTCTATTCCATCCTAGCACGTATCTGACACATTACGCACGCATTTCTTTATTCCTCTCTTATCTCGCTTTGCTCACTAGAACATCAGTACTGTGCAGGCTGGGTCTCATCCTGGGACTACCGGGGGAGCACCTGGCACAGAGCAGGACACAGCCACTATTGCTCAAATGAATGAGTTGAGCTTAGAAGCTGGGCTCCAAATAGCTCCACCAACATCTCCTCTGTCCACCGAACACACCCCTCTTTGGTCACATTTCTGGGCCAAATCCAACAGCAGCATCCAGGTAAAAACACAGAAAACCAGCTTGTTACCCACTACCCAGCCCTTGACCGTTTGTCCTGACCAACTCGGTCTCCCATGGGCCCTGGCTCCTCATTCAGACAGACCTGAGGCCAATGTGCAGTGACACACAGAGCAGCTCAGGCCCCAGGCTGCCCTCTGTCTTCTGGTCCGAGATGAGCCTGCTGGTCCAGGGGATGACCTGGAACCAGAGCTCTGTGTGTGTGTGTGCCGGGGGGGCATTGTGAGAGGCCAGGCTGTACCGTTGATGGACGTGTCGTAGGGCTCCGCCTCCTCGTAGTAGCTCTCTGGAGACTCGATCTTTGGGACAGGGAGCTGTTTCTGGTCTGGAACCTGAGGCATGAACAAACAAAGCCAAGAAGTGAGGAAGGAGCTGAGGGACACTCTCACCCCCATCATCAAGCAACATATGTCTGTTCTCAGCTGACTGAGGGACTGTGGGTACAGTGCTTGATGGTAACACAGCTCAGGTTTCTCCTCTTTCAAAGATGCTTTTAAAAAAGACCCTGACCACCAGGGCTCCTGGTGCCCACCCTCATGTATCAAGTGCACAGCTGTGCTCAGTACGGCGGCAATGTTTCAGAAGTCGCCAGGCCTTTCTTCCGAGGCACCTACTGATGAGTCTGCATCAACCACTTCCGGGTTAGCAGTTAAGACCATAGTCTTCTGCACCTCCCTCCCAACACAGAACTATTATACACAGAATACAAAATCCACATAAGGGCCCAGAGAGTGCAAGGCTGTTATAAAAGCTACTGGCATTTTCAACGACAATGTATTTTCAGAATAGACAAGGTCCAGTCAGCAGCACGTTAAAGAAGATGACCAGGTTTCTAAATGCCAGACTCTTGCCATCACACAGGTGACACTGGCAGTAAGTACTGGTCGTCTCCTGGGTACCATCCAGTGAGGGTGGTGAGGGACACGTCCAATATTCAGATGTCAGGGGGAAGGAAGGCTTACATAGCTTGTAAGTGCTCAGCAGCTAAGAATCAGGACCTTTATGTTGTTTTGTGCCCCTGAGTTAGAACAGACTCATAGACAACCCACTAGCAACTGTACATGGCACGAGAGGACTCTGTGTCCATCTTTCTCTCAAGGAACAACTGGTGGATTGGAACCATGTGCCTTTGAATTGGTAGTGCAACTCCTTACCTACTAGGTCACCAGAGCTCCCAGAGAATTATGAATAGTACGATAATAGAGCCAAGTTCAAAATTACGTAAGAACTACAGGAGGAGATAGGGAATATTTAGGACCAAGAAGCACAGAGAGGTGAGTCTCACGTGACTCACAGATGGGATGGGATGGGATGTGCAAGTTTGACTGGAGTAGAAGAAAGAACGTATGCAATCATGGTCTCAACAGTTGGTCTCTATCCTCCTGGAGCAACAGATGGGGAGTCAGGAACAGGAGGAAGACAGGGAATGTGTCAATTATTTTATGACAAATTGAGTTGTTCGTATTGGGGTCTCAGGGGACCATATTCTCAAGGGACACCAAGTTGAATTGCTGTAACACAGCCCACAAAGCTTTGGTGGCTTACTGGTAAGAAGTTGTCTGCCACCTCAAAGGTATGTGGATCCACCAGCTGCTTCCTGGGAGAAAGATGGGCAATTTCCTCCTGTGGGACTTACCGCCTCTGAAAACCCACTGAAGGGTCCGCTATGAGTTGGTTCTAATGTGACAGTACATAACCATCACAATTCAAAGACATTCTTCTACATCCTGCTTTGAGGAAGCCACTAGAGTCTTAAAAGGTTGAGAGTGGCATCTAAGAGGCAATTGTTATTCTCTCCCTGTTTAGAGCAAAGAAGAGCAAAGAAACTCACAGAAGCCAAAAGACTGATGGACTAGGCAAACCTCAACGTCTACAACCCAAGAGGGAAGAACTAGTGATGCCCAATCACCATAGCCAACTGCTCTAAAAGGGATCATAGGAGAGAGTTCTGGACAGAGTCAAAGATACATGTGGAACAAAACTCAAAATCATCAAACTGGTCAGGCTTGCTGGTCTAATACAGATAGATGGGACCCTGACAAGGCTATCAGGGCTCTTCAAGGTTCTAGCCTACAGCTCAACTCACTGCTGTGGCTCCATTTTCAGCCAAACAGTAGACAGGCCGATAAGGGAGACAACAACGGGGAGGTTCTCCCTTCTTATATCGGCCACCAGACTTCAAAAGGGCAGGATTTGCTCAAGTAGAGGGTCAGTGAAGGATAAGGCAGCTTTTAAGGAGATGCCTCACTGACTCCCAACAGTGGGCTGGAGGGTAGAGGAGATAGTTAGGAGGACCAGGATATGGCAGTGTGTCAGTCCGTGGCCCACAGCATTGCTGAATCACAGAGTTGACTTGACGGCATCTAGCAACAATGGTAGGAAGCTCTGGTGGCCTAGTGGTAAGAAGCTGCACTGCAATCCCAAAGGCACGTGGTTCAAATCCACTAGCTGCTCCCTGGGAGAAAAGATGAGCAATCTCCTCCTGCGTGATTAACTGCCTCTAACAACCTGCTGGAGGGTCGGCTATGGGTTGGCTCTGACTCAATGGTACACAACAACAACAACAACAACAAAGCTCAGGAGGCAGGAAGGGGCAGAAAGACGACCGGAAATGAGAGTCACAGGGAGAAATCATGAAGAATGCTGTTAAAACGTATTATAATCAAGGCCACGAAGCAAAGAATGTGTGAATGGCTAAGGGCAAGACCAATTTGCTCTGTAAACTTTCATTCACATCAACATAAAAAGATTACACGGCAGATAAAAATACTTGTCTTTGCTAATGTAAACATAAATGCAAAATAGCAGGTGAAAGGAGAAGATTACAGTCTATGTGTCTGATGGCAGATGGATAGACAGACTCTGGAGGAACTGGGGACTGACCTGGTTTGCACCATGTTCTGTCTAGGTCAACAGTTTGAGACCTATCCTGTGATAAGTAAAAGATACAACAATGTCCATAACAATTCAGAAGGGGGTCACACAGACACAACAGCCTATTATCAGGAATCAAAGCAGAAAGATCCTAATCCCCCAAAGTTAAGGATAAAAGGCTATTAGTTGAATTACCAGTACAGTCAGCATCATTACTGTGAGTATTAAAGATGCAAAAGAATTTGACCAACAGAATTTTCCAACAGTTCTCAAGAAACACCAGAACAGGAAAGCACAAAGTATCCGGCAATGATCCAAGAGAAAAGGGAGATACTTTTTCCTGTGAAGAGTCAGTATTTTAAAAACTTTCAGGCCATGTCTATCCCAAGTACCTCAGCTCTGCTCTCACAGCACAAAAGCAATCACAGACAATACATAAACATAAGTGTGGCAGTGTTCCAATAAAGCTTTATTTATAAAAACAGACCGTGGGCCGGCTTTCACTCTTGGGTTGTCGTTTACCAATCCTTGACTTGGATAGAAGAGCTGAACCTGAGGAGTGGCCCAGATGACCTGAGACAGTCACACGGCCTCGTGCACTGTGAGCATTTGCCAGGAGGGGAATTGGTGGACAAGGCTAGTTCCAGCTTTCCAAATGGACCACAACAATGTGCTTTCGTGGAGTCAGCTGCTTGTTGCACAGAGCAGCTCACGTAAGACCAGTGTAGGCTTCAGAGGGACGATGGGATGGATGGCTGTGCTGGCCAGGAGGATCAGCAGTGGCCAGCAGACATCTGTTTCTCCTGCAGTGACTACAGCACCTGGCAAGGCAGACAGCGGCCTGGAGACACTACAGCTGCCTGAGTCACTGTCCACACCCACGAGGTTGCTCGGCTCCCTGGCTGTTTTCCCTGCTGGACAGGCCTGATCCTCGCTCACTGGCTTGGGGTGAAGTAGGTGCCAAGACACATGGTGAAAACTCAGGGCTTGTGTAGGCCAGGCCAGATGTCCATGAAGAGGAGCCACCATGGAGCCTGAAGTTCTGGGTGAGGGTGAAAGGGAACAGGAGCCTCTCTCTGAGGAAGAAGCCACAGTACCCCCTAGGCCTGGCTCGGCTGAGCTGTCATGCTGCCTCTGAAGCTAGTGTCACTGTCTTGCTTTTCTCTCTCTCTCTCAGGCCAAGTATGCAGCTGCTCCCTCACCCCGAGGGGCCTTGGGCCAAGGGTCATGACTGCTTTAGGTCAGCCTTGACCCAAGAGGAGGTCTGAGAGAGAGAAGACACAAGTGAGCCAGCGTGCATTCCTGTGTTCAAGCGTGTGTGTGTGTGTAAAGAGGGGGGAGTGGTCAGTCCCTGGCTGGTATCCCACGCCCTGTCCTCACGCCCTGTCCTCACTCCACATCTGAGCTCTTCCGGTGGCAGAGGGAAGGTGTCAGAGATGGAACCAGGAAGGGTCTAGAAGGGGAGCCAGTCCTCAGCCTTCTCAGCAAAGTCCACAAGGAGGGAACTGGCATGGACTGCCAGGTCAGCTGCTTTGTTGGAAGTCTCTGCAGGGCCTGGAGTCTGTCCACAGAACAGTTAGCACGCATCCAAATGGCCACCGGAAGCCGTGTTGTTCCTGGGTGGTGACATTCTCCCAGTCCAGCACCAGGTCTCCCTCTGACGCCGACACTGGCCCCTCCAGCCCCAAAAGTGACCACTCACTGAGACGCACAGGAGACCTGCTCTGGAGGAAGCCATCTTGTTTCGTTTTCTTGATCCTGTTGCTTTTCTCTGAGGTTCCAGATTCACACCCAGAGCCCAGTGTACTGAGCCGCAGGAGATGCAGGTGTGGTCAGCTCAGGGCTGGAGTCTAGGCTGACCTGTGACCTACGTGTGTCACCGCAGCCGCGTCCCACATCCTGGACCTTTCAGTTCATGACCAGGAGAGTAACCACAGACTGAGTCCAAGAAAACAGCTGGCATCTCTCAGTGAGTTGCTGTGTCAAATGCCCACACCACACAGACAGAAGCGACAGGTCAGAAATGCAGCACTGGATTTGGAGAGGAACACAGTGGGGCTGGAGCTAGGTAAGGTGGATTCTTCCCTCCAAGCGCACTGGTGAAATATGAGTCCATGTTGCCCCAAAACCCACGACGGTCAAGTCAATCCTGACTCAATGTGACGCTCTCTCAGATTTTGTCTCAGAGGACCTAGTGGTAAGAAGCTGCGCTGCAATATCAAAGGCACGCAGTTCAAGTCCACCAGCTGCTCCTTGGGAGAAGGATGGGCAATTTCCTCCCATATGATTCACGGCCTCTGAAACCTGCCAGAGCGTCAGCGATGAGTTCGTTCCAACTCGACAGTGAACAACAACAAGAAAGCTCCCCAGGGAGGAGACTGGCATCCTTCTCCTGTCGAGTAGCTGGCGGTTTTAACAAGCAAACAATCGACCTTCTGATTAACAGTGCAGCATATAATGCACTAAGCCACCGGAACGGGCCCATAAGAGGAAGAATGTGGCACCGGGATGGGTGAATGACTCATCAACAATCAGCAGATTGTTGCAACAATTATGCAGATGACATAACCTTGCTTGAAGTAAGTGAAGAAGAGTTGAAGCACTTGCTGAAGAAGATCAAAGACTACAGCCTTCAGTAGAGATTACATCCCAACATCAAGAAAACAAAAGTCCTCACCGCTGGACCAATAGGCAACATCAGGCGAGAAAAGACTGGATTTTTAAAGGAATTAATTGTACTTGTATTCACAATAACACTCCTGGGAGAAGCCAGTCAAGATATCAAAAGAGCAAGGATGTCAATTTAAAGACTAAGGTACATCTGACCTAATCCATGGCTTTTTCAGTTGTTTTCATATGCATGTGAGAGCTTGATGACCGATAAGGAGGAGTGAAGATGAATTTGTGCCTTTCAGTTGCAGTATCGGGGAAGAGTACCGAACATCCCAAGGACTGCTGAAAGTACAAACAAATCTACCTCGGAGGAAATGCAACTAGGGCACTCCCTAGCAGCAAGAATGGCAAAATGACATCTTACATATTTGAGCTCATCAGAGGAGGGTCAATCCTTGAGAAAAAACAGACCACGGTGGGCAGTAGAGGGTTAATGAGGGAGGGAAGACCCTCAATGAGATGGAGTGTCACAGTGATTACAACCATGGCAGAGACTGTAAAGATGGCACCAGATCGGTTACAGTACAGATCCTTTGTCCACAGGGCTGCCAGGAGTCCTAGTGGACATTACAGCACCTAACAAGCACCTTGGGGACCGCTGCTGGGTTTCAGGCAGAGACTGTAGTGTGATGTGATTCGTATCTATATATATTTCTGGGTTTTTATTGAATTTTTCTTTTTGGTCAAATAAACAAAGCATAAACTGTTCCCATGTGAGTTTCTCAGCTTGAATAATAAGTGGCACTGGAACACACCCATCACCTTGTACTGTTCACATTGTCACCATGGCCTGAGCTGGTGACCATGGCACTGGGGTGGGGGAGAGGCTTGCACAGAGTCCTGTACCTGGTGGCACAGGACAAAGGGGATGGCCCTTCACTGTCCACACCCACAACCCAGCCCATTAAGAACTGAGGCCCTGAACAAATGACATAGCAACGGGCAGGGCCAGACCTACTTCTTTCTGTCCTGTCAATCCCAGGGCCTTGCCCCACCCCCTCATGCGGTCCATGCTCAGAAATGCAGAAGCCTGACGGGTCCCCACCTGTAAGGACAACTTGGGGGAAGGGCCAGGGCCTGCATCAGGGGAAGGGAGGCTGTGGACCCACACTTACGATCTTGGGAGGTGGGAGGTCAGGTAGGCTCTTCTTAGGGGCTGCAGAGGGCTGGCTGGAATCCCCATTGGCCAGTGGGCTCTGCTCGCTGGGTCCTGTGGACAGGGAGCAGAAGGGTCAGGGGTGCCTGTCCCACAGCAGGGCCTCACCCTCTGAGGGAATCTGGTCATGTGCAGGGACTTCTATTTGAGCAGGTGGTAATTACCCAGTGAGGCGGTCCCTGGACACAACGGTGTTTTTGGTTTTTCTTTTTTCCTCCAAGAATAGGGCACACTGGTTCTTTTCCTTCAGAAGGCAACTGTTTTGGGGTGTCTGGCAGGCCTCCTGGGCCCCATCCACCCCTCATAAAAAGTGGCCTAGATGTGGTGCTTTCACCCTGGAAGGAGCTGCCTGTGGTCACTATATTGAGATGCCCACAGCACTGACCCTGTGGTTAGAGCTCTTCCCAGCCCACAGTTTACCCAGCAGGGACACATCCCTTCCACAGGGACACATCCCTGCCAGAGGGACCGTCTCTCCTAGGATGGGTCGGGCCAGAGCTGCACGGGGGACGTAGGGGAGTCTGTACACTTGTAAGGAAAAGGCATCAGTGGCTCTTCTGAGCCCAGGAATGACACACTCGGGCAGGACTATTCTCTGGCCTTCGTGGCTAAGGCCTGAGCAGACACACATCTGCTGTCTGCTTGGGATGCAGTGTTTGGGGTACTGTGTCCTCATCTCTTGCTAAGCCTTGGGGATTGGAGTTGGCAGGGTTGGATGTTGGGAGAGAGCTGTTTCCATTGCCCTCTCTGCAGCTAACAGCTCTGTGAGCCTCTGAGCCTCCCTGGGATCCCTAAAGACCCACGGTAGGAGATGATGACAGAAAAGCAGTGGATAGGGCAGAGGGTGAGGCACCCAGGAGACAGACCACGTGAAATAAAAAATGTTCCTAAGCTGAAGACCACATTTGGGCATTATCTTTGAATATTAGGAAATATTAGGATAGTTTCTGATACTCTCATTCTTCTTCTCTGAATTAAGTTTTTTTTTTTAATGGATTTAATGGTAAGGAATTGTGCTGCCAACATAAAGGGTGGTGGTTCGAATCTACCAGTCCCCCCATAGGAGAAAGATGAGTAATCTTTTCCCATTTGATGCGCTGCCTCTGAAAACCCACGGGAGAGTCAGCTATGGATTGGTTCTCATTCGATAATACACAAAAACAATTAAAAAAAATCAGAAAACATCAGCTGAAAGCATGGAATCTGCACCAGACTTGATCAGAGCGCAGCTGCTTGATCAAAACATCTGAATCATGACTTCCTATCCCAGGGCTGGTGCTGGGAAAAACAGAGTGATTTTAGGGACGGATTCTTTATCCATGAAAGGGGCGGAAGGTGGCCCATTGAAACTTCCCAAAATACATCTTCCCAAAATACCAAGCACCAAAATGCAGCTTCCAAAAACAACTGCATGAGGCGGGGCCTGTCTGCTGCTGGCTGGCAGGGTGGAGGACGGAGGGTGGTGGGACCCAGCCGTGTTTCCCTCCCCGACCCAGGAGATGGTCTTCCCATCGGCGATCCCAGCCCCCATACCTTTGTCCTGGGTCTCAGCATTCGGTTGCCTGTTGACCGTCACTTTGTTCATATAAATGTACTCCTCATCGGAACCTGTGAGAGGAAGAGCAGAGATGTGGGCATCAAGTGACTTCAGGAAGGGACTGGGCTTCCAGAGATGCAGTGCCCCGTGCGCCAGACGTTTCCATCTGCTTCCATTCTCGTAAGACCAAGCAGCATTCTGGGTTGATGGAAAGAGTCTGCAACAGAGCTGAGAGATTTCTAAAACAGAAACAAGTTTTGACTGCTAGTTTTCAAATGCAGGGAAAAGGGTGGAGAGGATAGGAGGAACAGATTCAAGAATAAAAATCTTAAGTGGAACGCTACACAAACCTCATACTAACTCTCTCATGGCCTGCCGAACAAGAGGTTTCGCCTGGTTTCCTAGAAGCATATAAACAGCAGACATTTCCTATCAGTCATTCTCAACCTAGTCTGAAATAGTTGAGCGTGCTAATGAAATCTGAGCAGCACCTGGATGAGAAAGTTCTTGTTGAGCACCTGAAGGTCAGCTCCAGGTCTGTCCTGAGACAGTCCAATCACAGGAGCCCTGGGGTTGTTGCTGTTAGGTGCTGTCAAGCGGACGCTGACTCACAGCCATCCTATGAATGGATATGAACTCTGCCCCTTCAGACACTATCTTCCTCATCTCTGCTACACGCGAGCCCAGGGGAGCGTACTGGGATTTGAACTAGGAGCCACCAATCACCTGCTCCACAACTGCACCCGCTGTCCTGCGGCCCTTCCCGCGTCAGCAACATTTCTGTGAACTGACATCATCTTCTTGCTGGCAACGGCACTCTGGTCTCCTAACATTCGCTCTAAATTTAATCCCCAAGGGGGCCTTTCTCCTAAAGCCTTCACAGAACGCTCATCCCCGTCTTTCTCCTTTTAGAAATCTTCCCATATTTCATTTTCAGGCCTTAATTTGTGTTTCCTAGAAACTTGTGGCTGATAAATTCCAGTGGTTGGAGGCCTTGCTCCGGAGCCAAGCGGCCCAGTTCAATCCCCTGGCTTAAGAGGCCGCTCAGCACTGTTCGTTCCGTGGCCACAGGCTGCCCAGACTCCAGGCAGCAGGCCTGCAAAACGGGGGCCCTTCATACCCAGACCACCACAGTCAAAAAAACCTCCAAAACCAAGCCAACCAACCTAAACCAGACCTATTACCATCAAGCCCATGGAGGCTCGTGGTGGCCCAGGTGTTACAGAGCAGACGCGAGCTGCTAGGATTCTCTTGCTCTAATAGTTACAGAAACAGGTCACCAGGCATTTTTTTCGGTGGTACTAGTGGGTACACTTGAACTGCTGACCTTTTCACAGAAGGGTAAAAAAAGGCTAGATCAGTTTTAGTCATCCACTAACTCAGTGTCCAGCCTCACTGGGATTAATTAGCAGTGGTACACTTATACTAAGAGCTACAGTACTTTTCAGGAAGAGAATGACCAGGTTCAAACACAGCCACAACCTTCATGTTTTTACTAAGACCGAGAGGTGACAGGGTCTTCTCCAGAGCCTGGCACAGAGGAAAATGCTCAGGGATGCGGGTTAGGAGACTGGAGGCCAGGTTGAGGGGCTTGGTCAGGCTCCAGCATCAGTGGTATAACTCTGAACACAACACCTAGCTCAGGGTCCCCAGTTGTCTTGTTTATATATCAGGGTAAATAATTATGGTACAAATACTGCCTTTTTCTACCTAACTCTTATGTCTTCAGGAGTATAAAATTCAAGTGCTAGAGAATCTGAAAAAGTAATTTCATAACTAACCAAGATTTTAAAATGACAGTCCAAAACTTGGGCAGCAACTCAAGGGCCCAACAATAGGAAAATGATGAAATAAAAGCTGCCAACCTGACATTTATAACATTAAATCACCTCTTAAAAACAAAACAAACCAAAACAGCCTAACAGCAAACCACTTACTTCAAAAGGCAGACGTTGGCATAGAGGCATTTTGGAAGTAATTTGAGGGCATAAGTGTTCATATTTTGACCCACTGTTAACTTGTAGATAAATTCCGGTGTAAACAGAAGTTTATTTGAGGGCATTAGTTGCAGCAATATATGAGATTTTTTTTAAAAGAGGCAAAGTTGAATGCAGCTTAAATGCCCACCCACAGCAAACTGGCTAACCACTGTGATAGTTACTAGTGGACACTGTTCAACGATAAAAAAAAAATAATAAAATTCCCTGTTGGTTGATTTGCAAGGGCCTCCAAGAATTATTGTTTTAGGATAGGGAAAAAAAGCATTAAAAGAAGTATGAGAACTGTCAACACATGCAAATCTGTACATGCAGCAATTCTAAATGTAGGGGGGAAATGCAAAGCTGAACACAACCAGATGAGTGACAATCGCTCAAAAATATTCCAGTGATTCCAGTAAGATCAGAAAGGGAGCTGGAGGAATAGTGTTGAGTGTTCATTTTATGCTCATTTCCCCCATTTAATTAAAATCATTTCCCTGAATGAGGGAGGGGGGAGAAGAGAGAGGGAGAGGGGAGAGAGAGGGAGAAAGGGGAAGGGGGAGAGGTGGAGGGGAAGGGAGAGAGGGGAGGGGAAGAGGGGAGGAGAGGGAGAAAAGGAGAGGGAGAAGAGGAGAAGGAGGGACAGGGAGGGAGGGAACCCGAGAGAAAGTAAAACATTGTTACTGTTTTAACTGGTATTGAGAGCAAGCACTTCTCACACCAGATGTCAGTGCAGGAGTCACAGAAAACTTGCAGTGCCCCCCTCCCCAGCCATGCCCTCCCTAGCACCCTGCAGCTGTGGTTGGCTTGGTTTCTACATGTGGGCTTGATTCATTGTCAAATGTCATCAGGTGTGAACCCACATGATGGCACTGAACTTCTCCGTCTGGTTTTCTTGACTGTGATTTTTCCAGGAGTGGATTGCCAGGTTTCTTCTGGAGAGCCTCTTGATGGGTTTGAACTGCCAACCTCTTGGTTCGCAGCTAAGGAAGGTTGCTTGTCCATCACTAGTCCAGATAGATGGCTAAGCAGAGGCTCCCAGGATCTACTGTAACAATGAGGAAAGTATGGTGGCCTGTAAGGGGAAGCCACTGCACAGTTCCACGTCCAGCAGGCAGCAACCCAAGCTGGAGAACTTCCTGTCAGTCACTTATTTCAAGTTTGCATAGAGGTCATCAGCTCTGTGCCAGACCCTCAACCAGGTGCTAAAGCAGCAGCCCACGCAAAACAGACATTGTCTCCACCTTCATGAAAGCAAACACTTGGCAGGGACATAGGTCTTTGGGTGGTCTAAATAATAGCCCAGCTGCTAACTGAAAAGTTGCTGGTTCAAGCCCAGCCAGCAGAGCTGTGAAGACAGACTTGTCAACCTCGTACTATAAAGATTACACTCAAGAGATCTTTTTGGGGGCGCTCTATCCTGTAACACCTGGGGTCACCATGAGATGGAATTAACTACATGGCAATGCGGTTCTGGGGAGAAGACAGGTCTGAATCAGCATCAACCAGCATGTGTAAAAGGTGAGGTGGGAGTGAGCTGAGGAAGTGTGCTGTTTCTGGGGGCTTTGACCTCATCTGCAGAAGGGTCCTTCCCAGAATACGAGGGTGTGCGTTTGGCCAGAAAAGACAGGGATCCTCTTTGAAAGAGCCACAGTTGGGTCAGAAGAATGCAGCACTGGAAGCTTTTCCTACTGGGTCTGATGCACACACTGGCCAGGACCTGAGCAGTCAGCAGGCCAGGTCTCTGAGCAGACCTCTGTCTGAACCCTGACCTCACCATCCAGACAAAACTAGGGCAAAGAGAGCAGCAAACCTGTGTTTACAGTGAAAAAAGAAAAAGACCCAAAACCGCGTGGAGACACGCACACGCTCTGCAGTCTGCTCTGAACCAACAACAGAGGCTCAGAAGAGGAGGAAGAGGAGAATCACAGGCTGGCACGGAGCACCAGCCCGCGACACCTACAAGTCCCGTCAGGCTGAGCTGGTGCTCTGGAGGGCACTGGGGGCGGGGGCCCGGAGGATGCTACTCCGTAATTTCAGGGAGGCTTGAGACTACCTTAAACACAGCAATTAACCTGTGGGGGACGAGGGGGGTGTGAGAGCTGGGAGGGTGGGGTTAATTCCACCTGCTCAGGTGAAGCCTGCGCAATCGGCAGCATCAGGATGGATGGCAAAGAGATTGAGATTGTTCACAGCTTCAGTTTGCTCGGCTCCACGGTCAACACTCTTGGCACCAGTAGCCAGGAAATAACTATGAACTCTGCCCCTTCAGACACTATCTTCCTCATCTCTGCTACACGCGAGCCCAGGGGAGCGTACTGGGATTTGAACTAGGAGCCACCAATCACCTGCTCCACAACTGCACCCGCTGTCCTGCGGCCCTTCCCGCGTCAGCAACATTTCTGTGAACTGACATCATCTTCTTGCTGGCAACGGCACTCTGGTCTCCTAACATTCGCTCTAAATTTAATCCCCAAGGGGGCCTTTCTCCTAAAGCCTTCACAGAACGCTCATCCCCGTCTTTCTCCTTTTAGAAATCTTCCCATATTTCATTTTCAGGCCTTAATTTGTGTTTCCTAGAAACTTGTGGCTGATAAATTCCAGTGGTTGGAGGCCTTGCTCCGGAGCCAAGCGGCCCAGTTCAATCCCCTGGCTTAAGAGGCCGCTCAGCACTGTTCGTTCCGTGGCCACAGGCTGCCCAGACTCCAGGCAGCAGGCCTGCAAAACGGGGGCCCTTCATACCCAGACCACCACAGTCAAAAAAACCTCCAAAACCAAGCCAACCAACCTAAACCAGACCTATTACCATCAAGCCCATGGAGGCTCGTGGTGGCCCAGGTGTTACAGAGCAGACGCGAGCTGCTAGGATTCTCTTGCTCTAATAGTTACAGAAACAGGTCACCAGGCATTTTTTTCGGTGGTACTAGTGGGTACACTTGAACTGCTGACCTTTTCACAGAAGGGTAAAAAAAGGCTAGATCAGTTTTAGTCATCCACTAACTCAGTGTCCAGCCTCACTGGGATTAATTAGCAGTGGTACACTTATACTAAGAGCTACAGTACTTTTCAGGAAGAGAATGACCAGGTTCAAA